TTGTCCTGCAACTTTATTGAATTCGTTTATCAGTTCTAGCAGTTTTTTGGTTGAGTCTTTAAGGTTTTCTATATGTAGTATCATGTCATCTGCAAATAGTGACAGTTTTACTTCTTCCTTACCAATTTGGATGCCTTTTATTCCTTTTTGTTATCTGATTGCTGTAGCCAGGACTTCCAGTACTATGCTGAGTGAAAGAGGTGAGAGTGGACATCCTCATTCCTGACCTAGAGGAAAAGCTGCCAGTTTTCTCCCATTTAGGATGCTGTTAACTCTGGGTTTTTCATATATGGCCTTTTTTATGTTGAGGTATGTTTCCTCTAAACCTACTTTGTTGGGGGTTTTAATCATGAATGGATGTTGTACTTTGTCAAACGCTTTTTCTGCATCTATTAAAAGGATCATATGGTCCTTATCCTTTGTTTTGTTAATGTGATGTATCACATTGATTGATTTGGGAATTTTGAACCAGCAACCCAGGAGTAAATCCATTTGATCACAGTGAATAATTTTTTTTAATGCATTGTTGGATTTGGTTTGCTAGTATTTCACTGAGAAATTTTGCATCTGTGTTCCTCAGGAATATTGGCCTGTAGTTCTCTTTTTTTTGTGATGTCTTTATCTGGTTTTGGTATCAGGGTAATGCTGGCCTCATAGAATAAATTTGGAAGTTTTTCTTCCTTTTCTATTTTTTGGAATAGTTTGAGAAGACTAGGTATTAACTCTCCTTTAAATGTTTAAATAGATATTAACTCTTCTTTAGAATTCACCTATGAAGCCATCTGGTCCTGAATTTTTGTTGGTTGGGAGTTTTTTTTATTATTGATTAAGTTTCTTTGCTGGTTATTGGTCTATTCAAGTTTTCTATTTCTTCCTATTTCAGTTTTGGTAGTTTATAAGTTTCTAGGAATTTATCCATTTCTTCTAGGTTGTCCATTTGTTGGCATATAGTTTTCGTAACATTCTCTTATAATTGTTTGTATTTCTGTGGTGTTGGTTGTTATTTCTCTGCTCTCGTTTGTGATTTTACTTATTTGGGTCCTTTCTCTTTTTGATAAGTCTGGCTAGGGGTTTATCAATTTTATTAATTTTTTCAAAGAAACACTCCTGGTTTCATTGATCTGTTCTATTGGTTTTTTTTTTAGTTTCTATATCATTTGTTTCTGCCCCAGTCTTTATTATTTCCTTCCTTTTACTGTTCTGGGATTTGTTTGTTGTCCTTTTCCTAGCTCCTTTAGGTGTAAGGTTCCATTGTTTGAGATTCTTCTCGCTTTTTGAGGTGGGCCTACTATGTACTACCATGTACTTCCCTCTTAGGACCACTTTTGCTGCATCCCAAAGGTTATACTGTTGTGTTTTCATTTTCATTTGTGTCCAGGTGTTTTTTTTTTAAAGATTTTTTATTTATTTATTTGACAGAGAGAGACACAGCGAGAGAGGGAACACAAGCAGGGGGAGTGGGAGAGGGAGAAGCAGGCTTCCCGCGGAGCAGGGAGCCTGATGTGGGACTTGATCTGAGAACCCTGGGATCATGACCTGAGCCGAAGGCAGACGCTTAACAACTGAGCCACCCAGGCGCCCCTGTGTCCATGTATTTTTAAAATTTCTTCTTTGATTTCCTGGTTCACCCATTCATTGTTGAGTAGCATGTTGTTTAACGTGGTCTTTCGAGATTTTTTTCTTATGGTTGACTTCTAGTTTCATAATGTTGGGGTCAGAAAGGGGGCATGGTATGATTTCAGTCTTTTTGTATTTGTTGAGGCCTGTTTTGTTACCTAATATGTGATTCATTCTAGAGAATGTTCCGTGTGCACTTGAAAAGAGTGTGTATTCTGCTGTTTTAGTCCATCTGGTCCAATGTGTCATTCAAAACCACTGTTTCCTTATTGATTTTCCGTTTAGATGATCCGTCCATTGATGTAAGTGGGGTGGTAAAGTCCCCTACTATTATTGTATTATTATCAATTAGTTCCTTTATGTTTGTTGCTAATTGTTTTATATATTTGGGTGCTACCATTTTCAGTGCATAAACATTTATGATTGGTATATCTTGTTGGATTGTTCCCTTTATTATTATATAATGCCCTTCTTTGTCTCTCATTACAGTCTTTGTTTTAAAGCCTAGTTTGTCCAATATAAGTATTGCTATTCCAGCTTTCTTTTGACATCCATTTGCATGATAAATATTTCTCCATCTCCTCATTTTCAATCTAAAAGTGTCTTTAGGTCTAAAATTAGTCCCACGTAGATGGGTCTTGTTTTCTTATCCTTTCTGACACCCTGTGTCTTTTTATTGGAATGTTTAGTCCATTTACATTCAGAGTTATTATTGATAGATATGTATTTATTGCCATTTTATTACTTGTTTTGGAAGATTTTCTGTGATCCTTTCTTGTCTTTTTTTTTTTTTTTTAAGGTTTTATTTATTTATTTGACAGAAAGAGAGAGACAGCAAAAGAGGGAACACAAGCAGGGGGAGTGGGAAAGGGAGAATCAGGCTTCCGGCTGAGCAGGGAGCCCAATACGGGGCTCGATCCCAGGACCCTGAGATCATGACCTGAGCCGAAGGCAGTCACTTAACCAACTGAGCCACCCAGGCGCCCCGATCCTTTCTTGTTTTTCTCTCTTTCATGTTTTGCTGGTTTTCTTTACTGTATATTTGGATTTCTTTCTCTTTATTCTTTGATGTTTATTAGTGGGTTTTGATATTGGTTACCATTAGGTTTGTGTATAACCTCTTCTGCAAATAGCAGTCTATATTAAGTTGATGGTTGTTCAAGTTTGCACCCATTCGTTTCTCCTCTCTGCACATTTTGCGTATATGTTATTATATTTTATATCCTTTTGTGTGTGTGAGTTCCTTGACCGAGTTTTACAGAAATATTCATTTTTACTGCTTTGTGTTTCCTGCATTTATACGGTCACTTTTATTTTCTCCTTTCCCCTCAAAGAGTCCCCTTTAATATTTCTTGCAGGGCTGGTTTAGTCATCACAGACTCTTTTCGTTTTTGTCTGGGAAACTCTTTATCTCCCCTTCTATTCCAAATGGTAGCCTTACTGGATAGAGCGTTCTTGGCTGCAGATTTTTCCTATTCAGCATTTTGAATGTCTCGTGCTACTCTCTTCTTTTCTATTTCTTCTTACTTTACTTTTGTTCATGTCTTTTCTTCCATGGGTGGCTTGTATGCCTTTGTGCTTCACAAACTGTCATTCTCCATTAGGACATCTTTGCGTTATTCCTGTTACCAAGCATTGTGTAAGTAGAAGCCTCTTTGTGGAATGATAATGTTTTAACAGTGATGTGCCATGTTAGTGGCAGCTGTTAACTTCAACCAAAATATGTCATTATTTATATCATAATATTCATACTGTGGTATATCACCACTTAATTATGTTTATAGAAGTAAACTTTCAATATCTGTTTCAAGGCAGTGAATACATGCTGCCAAAAAGGAGAATGGATAAGAAATTTTTTTACTAGCTGTCACTGCTGTTCCTTTTTATACATATGTTAATTCTCCATGATTTGTGTTTTAGTTGAATAGCACTTGTATTAGCAGATAATACCTTCTATTTGTATCTGCACCGTGACATCTTACTTTGGCAAGATGGGGTGGGATAAAAGTATGTGTTTGTGTTAGTGTGTTCATGTTTGTTGTTTTTGTAAACCTGCAGAGAGAACTGAGAGACTTTCTAGTTCATCTTAGAACTAGGCAGGGTAATATTTCACCCACTTAAACATTAAAATATCTTCTATTTGAGTTTCCAGATTGAGAGTTCTTACAGTCTCCTTGGTAATTCATCTCAGCATTTTTCAACTAACTGGCAGCAAAGTAGTCTAGTTGAAGAAAGAGTTTAAAAAAAAAAAGATTTTGTTTTTCTCTGTCATTACGTAGACAATCGAGCATCCATTTGTTTAAAGCACTTAGTGTGTGTCAGGAAAGTAGAAGGAAGGGCATGCTAACTGGAGAACATCATGAGCAGAGGTACTTGGGAGAAGTTAGGGAAGTTCAGGGCCCATTTAAAGAATGGCAGTAGTTTGGTTGAATGTAACTGTGATGTAGTTTTGAAAGTTCATGGCTGTGAAATTCCTTTTTTTAAATCTAATTTAATTTTTAATGGGACAATATATAGTTTATTTTTTTAGGAAAATAAGCAGTAAATTATTGCTGTATGGATTCAAACATTTCTAAGACCCACATGTGCTAAGTGAAAACCATGGGAAAGATCTTCAAGTCTTTCATCATTTTTATTATTTAATTTCATTTCAATTTTTTGGTAGTGAACACAATTCTTATTCTCATATGTGCATTTTATAGGTATTAGGTATTTTCAGAATCTGATGCTGTCATTTACTTTGGTGCGTATTCTGTTCAAAATATATTTGGCTCTACTTGCCCAGGACATAAAAGTGCTATACTTGGCAGTATTTTAAAAATAAGATACCTAGTCCTTGTATGTGTGTAGGCTTGAGGATTTTAACATTGTGACAGTTTTATCATAATTTTTAGAAAATGTCTATCATTGAACATCATTTTTTTTAGTTGTCATGGAAATGATGAAAGTTATTTTTCAGGAAAGTTAATAAACTGTACTTCAGTTATTATTTCCAAATAACATGGTTGGAATGGTGGCAGAGCATGTAACATGTAGTTCATCTTCTCAAACCCTTATTCACAAATTGCCTTTTGTCATTAGTGTTTTTTCTTTATCATTGCCTATGAACTTTCTCAAATCACTTTTTGGTTGTATGGTAGTTGCTATATTTTTATACTTGTTAATCATTTTTAAAGTCCCAGGATACCAGCAATAGTAAATGCTATAGCTTTCTACCTAACTTGCTAAAAGCAACTTATTATTTAAAGGAATATAAGGAAAAACCTGATGAGGAATGTTTACCTTATTTGGGATTTTACCTGACTGTTAATAAGAATTTAATATCTTGTTTCCTTCTAAAATGTGCAAATAATAATTATTTTTATAAAATTTCTTCCTGTTAGACTTTTGAAGATTTTAAAAATGACAAGCAAGCCGTAGAATATCAACAACGAATTGTGGATATTTTGTTGAAAGTAAGTATTCAGAGGATAGATGTCTTTGTATTGATGTTTGTTTGTTTTGTTTTTAGGGGGCAGGGGACACAGGGAGAGGGTTAGAGGGAATCTTAAGCAGGCTCCACGCCCAGTGTGGAGCCTGATGCGGGGCTCGGGCTCATGACCTGAGCCAGGATCATACGCTTAACCAACTGAGCCACCCAGCTGCCCCTGTATTGATGTTTATTTTAAGGAAGTTGAATTGTTTTATAGCAAGTTCTAAAATGATCTTATTTAATGAAGCAGTGTGTTGAAATCATTTAAAAAATTTTATTGTGATATCTTTGTCTTCCAAACCTGAACGAAATACTGATCATTCTTTAAAAAAAAAAAATTTAATTTATCTCCGCTATAGACTAGATAGATATAGGATACAGGGTACTGCTGTGAAATGCATATTGTGGTAGTTGCTGTATTGGTATGATTATGTGAAATAATGGTGACTACCTTCAGAATGCTTTGAGAAGATAATTAACATGAAGAATCTTCTGTCTCATACCAGCATTGCTGTGTTGCTAAGGTGGTGCTGTCATGAGATGACAGGAGCAACTTCAGAATGATCAGAGGCACGCAGAGAGGATCATCTCAGTTTAAATCCAACTAGATTCAGTCCAAAGCTATTTTGAGATCCACTCTGCTGCTAATGAATGAATGCAGAGACAGATTCTTTTCCTTTCCATCTGCACAGCTTGGATCAGGCCAGTTTCTTCCTGTAGTTGAAACCTTAGAATCTTGTCCATTTGGCTGTAAAATGGAGATTTCTTCCTCTCAGCGAGTTTTAGATTATTTTGGACAAGAGACCAAAATTAAAATGTTCTCTAATTATGTATGACATTAAGGCATTACATTTGTAATAGTTCTCTATAATTTTTAAAGCACATTTATATACCTTATCTTATTTGAGCTGTTTATTGACGTAAAATAGGCAGTGATGAGTATGAGAATAGGATCGCTAAGCCCCCAAATAATGCCAGTTTGATCCAGGTAGGTGGTGTGGAGAATTTTTACTTGGATTTCCTAAATGGTCTCTCTATACCTAATCTTGTCCTCCTCTAATTTGTGATCTTTCTTTTATTCTTCTGTGGCTCCCTATTATTGGATCAGTTGGAATTAAGTTCTGCTGTGAGAGAGATTCAAAACAACAGTAGTCTAATTGTGAAGGGAATTTATTTTTCTCATAAAAGTCTGGAGGTTAGCAACCTGTTCTAGTAGAGTGGCTTCACATACTTATCAGGGATGCAGATGCCTTCTGCTTTAACTGTTGTTATTCTTAGTCTATGGTTCCTGTCTTTTGGTCCAAAATACCTTCTTGGGCTCCAGCCATCGCCTCGGCCCTCTAGCCAGTCTGAATGCAGAAAGAGATGAAGAAGAGAGTTCCCTCTCTTTAAGAAGACTTTTTAGAAGTTGTGTACTACAATTCAGCTTATAACATGTTGATGAGAACTTAGATATATTGCTTCTCAGCTGCTAAGAGAGACTGAGAAATGTACTCTTTATTATGGGTGACCATGTGTTTAGCCTAAAATGAGGAGTTCTGTTTCTAACTTAGGAGGGAAGAGCAGATGTTGGAGCACAAGTACTAGTTTCTGCCATACTCATGTAAAGTTGTTGAACATGACATCCAAGATCCTTCTGTATTTTCTGGTCCCTGATTACTTCTCTATAACTGCTCTCCTCTCCTCCCCCTAACACACCCCCCGTGGCACACACACACTCTGTATTATGAACTTCTCAACCATATTAAATTATTGCAGTTCACCAAATTGTGTCATCTTTTTTTTTTTTTTAAAGATTTTATTTATTTATTTGAGAGAGAGAATGAGATAGAGAGAGAGCATGAGAGGGGAGAGGGTCAGAGGGAGAAGCAGACTCCCCGCTGAGCAGGGAGCCTGATGCGGGACTCGATCCCGGGACTCCAGGATCATGACCTGAGCCGAAGGCAGTCGCTTAACCAACTGAGCCACCCAGGCGCCCCAAATTGTGTCATCTTTATGTCTTATGTTCTTTGTGTGTGTTTTCTTTCATCCTGTCATGCCTTTCTTTCCCTTTCTCTGCCTGGCAAATTCCTAACCATTTACCAAGACATAACTCAAATATCATCCGCGAGAAACTCTTAGAATCCTTTCCACACTTTCAGTTTGATTAGTTGCCCCTTCTCCATGTTCATACAACACTTTATGCTACACATGGCACACTGTATGGTAATTGTTTACATGTTTCTTTTCCTGCCTGCAGTTTCCTGTAAGCAGAGACTGTGAGGATTTTTGTGTGTGTGTCGTAGTTTTAACATGACCAGAATATGTCCAGCACAATGCCTGCATGCTGGTATTTCCTATTTCTCTTCCTTATCCGTTCATCTATTGATGGAATTTAAGCTGCTTCCATATCTTGGCCATTGTAAGTAATGCTGCAGTAAACATAGGGGTGCATATATCTTTTTGAATTAGGGTTTTTGTTTTCTTCAGATAAATTCTTAGTGTGATCCAGGAATTCCATCTCTATTTTTAATTTTTTGAGGAACCGCCGTACAGTTTTCCACAGTGGCTGCACCAATTGCATTCCCACCCATAGTGCATGAGTCTTTCCTTTTATTCACATCCTTGCTTAACACTTGCTATTTCTTGTCTTTCTGATACTAGCCATTCTGACGGGTGGGAGGTGGGGTACCTCATTGTGGTCTTGACTTGCATTTCCCCAATGATTAGTGATGTTGAACATCTTTTCCTGTGCCTTCAGGTTACCTTACTTTTAAACCCCAGAATGACTCCCTTCTTCCTGTGTCGGTAGGCAGCTTTTTGGTAGGGTTACTTAAATTTAATTTAAATTTAACTTTAGAAGGATTCTCTTTTAAGAATTCCAGAGGGAAACATGTTTAATATTTCTTTGAAAGCCACCTCTGGCAATTCAGTTCTCATACAAATTGTGCCTAGAAATATGCCAAAAATCACTAAAATGTTTTCCTTTCAGAATATGAAAGTAGTTTGTGCTCCTTCTCTAAAATGGCATTGAACTCAATTGTTGCACAGCCTATAAAAGAATCTTCTCATGAGTCTTCAATAATGAGGCTTCCCACCACCTTTCTAATGATATAATTTTGTGTCAAACCAGATGGTATATTGAATAAATGGTCTCTTCTGCTCACCAGGTTATGGTGGAGAATTCCGATTTTACTCCCTCACAAGTAGGGTGTCTCTTTACATTCCTTGCCCGGCAGCTTGCAAAGCCAGACAATACCTTGTTTGTAAACAGAACCCTTTTTGATCAGGTGAGTGTCTTTAATGATGAGAATTGTTTTTATTATGTTTACTGTTCATAGAAAAATTGACTGGACTATACATTTTTTAATATAATAGCCTGGTGGGTAAATATCTTATCAGGTAGGAGCCTCTTCTGGTTTTAATTTGGATTAAATTAGTTGATTTTTTTTTTTTTAACGTTGTGTCTGGATAGTATGATTTTGCCTAGTAACTTGCTCTCTTGGGAGTATGGCTTGTAGAGATTGGCTTATAGAAATTTTGTTCTCTGTTATTCTGTTGCTCTAAATTGCCTAGAATTCTTTGCTCAAGAATTTTTGAATTTAAGAGTTCACGGATCTCACTGGTAGCATGTCTATGATGTTGATCATCTGGAATAGAGATCACTGTTAGAAAGACTGAATTTCCTTATAAATGACTTTGACTCTGAAGGTATCTCCTAATCCCAGTTAAATATCTTCTATATATCCACAGGTGGCAAAGAAAACCCTTTTTATCTGGAGAAAGTTACCAATAATGACTAGCATTTATTGAGCACTTCATAATACCAGGTTCTGTTCCAGGGTTTTTTTGTTTTGTCCTAAAGATTTTATTTATTCATTTGAGAGAGAGAGAGCACAAGCAGAGGAAGTGGCAGAGGTAGAGGTAGAGGCAGGCTCCTGGCTGAGCAGGGTGCCCGACATGGGGCTTGATCCCGGGATCATGACCTGAGCCAAAAGCAGACGCCTAACCGACTGAGCCACCCAAGCACCCCTGTTCCAGGGTTTTACATGTATGTGTTAACTCATCGCCATTGTAATGGTAGTCCTGAGATTGGTATAGTTGTTACGCTCGATTATGCAGATGAGGAAACTAAAGCCTGGAGAGGTTATGTCACTCATCCAAGTCCATACCTAATAAATGTTATTATTAGCGGTAAGTGTTGTTATTAAGTGTTAATTGACTTTAAGACTCAAATTCAAGTGGCCTGACCCTATAAAGTCCATGCTTTGCTCGGTCCTTGGTATCAGGGATCTTAAGGTTAAGGTGTGTGGACGGCGCTGTCTTCCTGCCATGTTTCGGAACAGTAACGATAAGACAGATACATATTAAGTTGTTAACATACTTGAGCTAGCTGTGCCATGTAATAGGCCAGTCAGTGAGGAAGATACCATATATCTGTGGTGTCTGTTATGGCCAAGTGTGAATGAATTGATAATTGAAAGGGTAGGTATTGTTGTTTTCATGACTACAGTGTTATGGCATCCATGTTAATATCCAATAAAGAAAATACCTTTTCTTTGACCAGGTCCTTGAATTCCTCTGTAGTCCTGATGATGACTCCCGACACTCTGAAAGACAGCAGGTATGAACTACTGGAACTCTGCTTGCTAAAGGATGGGAAAGAGGACAGAGTAAGCTAGAAAGAACCCTTCTGTGCTAGACCTCATGAAACGTAAGGGGAAAGGTACTTGCACTAAACTCTAATTCTAAGATAGTGGCAACCAGGCAATAGTGTGGATGGTTGTTAGAGGTACATTTGTAAAGAATTTATATCAGACTAAATTCCTAGGCAGACTGGACCTGTCTTGCATCCAGCGTGACACCAAAGAGAGTTACTCATCCTTCTCCATGAAGTAGCAGCAGTTGACCGCTGTTGTGTCCTGCTTTCTCCCCAGGCCATTTATCTGATACCCACTCCTAGCTGCTATGTCTCTGAACCAGAAAGCCTGCAGGATCCCCTTCAACTTTAAGGAGAGTTCTGTAGCCCCCCTGCATTAGGGTAAACATTGCTGGGGACTAGAATCCATCTGTCCCTCCGCTAATTGCTATGAGACTGTAACTGTTTGATTACCACTTCTTTCTACTTAGGCCACTTTCTTGAGCATCTCTTCCAGGAGTAGGATTCTTTCAAAGCTTACCCACTATAACTGTGAGCACTAAGAGAGCCTGTTTAACACTGATGGCCAGAGTTTGTCAGATAAGCAAGCTACAAAATATAAGTACTTGGAGAGCTACACTGGTGTTTTTTTATGGTAATAGCGCTCAACAGCTGGAAGGTTGAGACTCAGATAAAGAACGTAGGATAGCAACAGTGACCCTTTTCTCTGCACAGCTGTGGCCCAGTGACTGCTGCAGACCTGCTTAGGGGTGAGAACAGTTGTTAAATTTTGGTTATCTCAAATTATATTGAATACAGATAATGTGGACCCCTCACTTTGCCCCTATTTCTCTCGTGGCAGGAAAAGTGAATCATGGTATGCATGGTGTTTATATAAAATGATAAACACTTTTAATATAAATAACTAAATTAAACAGAAATAAAAATCAAATCTAAACATAAAAGTCAAACTTTGAAAAGTAATCCTTGTATAGTAATGCTCTGTTTTTGGAAGTCCCCTTTGAGACTAGGTTTTTTTCCTCAACTCGTTTGAGAAATACAGAAAACTGATACAGTAAATTGCTCAAGTGCATAACTAAAATTAGAACCCACTTCCATCCCTTCTAATCCAGCACTTATGTATCGTGTATTATATATAAAAATTTGTGTCTGCACTATTTTTGAGTGTTTTCTGGTGGTATGCTGCTAAAATTTTACAGCTGCTCCCCCCGGTGTAGTTCTGATATGAATGTTGGTTGATATTTTCAGTATTTAAATGAATAAGATGAAGGCACAACAGTGAAAGCATGACAGAACTTCACACATTCATCAGTGACTTCTGTGCTCAATCAGTTCTTGAATACTAGAAAAATAATTCCTTAGTTTTTTGTGCTATTCACAGTATAATGACTACGACATGCACGCCTTTAAATTTGATTGCCTATTTCCATCACTTTCTTACCCAGGGATTGTAATTTTTTTTTTTTTTTTTGTAAAGGGCCAAAGAGTAAACATTGTAGGCTTTGTGGGGCACATGGGCTCTGTGTCACATACTCTCCTTTTTGTTTGTTTTATGCCCCTTTAAAAATACAGCAACACTTGATTTTTACAGCATTTGCTAATTTCCATAGTGTAAGTACTCCCCTCATGGCTGATTTCAGCCTCCCAAGATGATGTTACTAAACATAGAACTGGGAAGAGATGCCACACCCTTATATAATATTTCCACCCAAAGATGCAGTAACTAACCTCAAGAGCATACATAGTAAAATGTAGTAAAATAATTAGGAAGTGGTGAGTTTTGCATATTAATTACTTTTTAAAATTTTAGTTATTATTTAACAATTGCTGTGCTCAACATCTGGCTTACACAATTCCTGAAAATATAACAGCTCTGTTCAGTTGGTAAGACTGGCTTCAGCAATGACATTTCTATTATGTTATTCCAAACTGAGGCTCCCAAGAGATGGGTTCACTCCATAGTTCTATATAACAGTACATTATAGTGCTCAAAATGGACTGAATTAGGGTTCTGAAAAGTAAAGTATGGATAGGTTTGATTTCTTCTCCCCCTTTTTGTCTTTCTTTAACTTGAAAGTAATCAGTTTCCTGTGTTAGAAAAATACTTTGTTAAATGGTTTCCTGAAGTTCTGGAAGGGACATGTTACTTTGGATCTTGAACTTGAATATAAGAGAAAGCTTCCTCATATTGTTCTAGTGACTATGCAATGATTCTGTTATCTTTTGAGGTTTATTTAAAAATATTGATGATTCAGTCTCAACATCCTAATCACTTTTGTAGTCTTCTGCTTGGTGTGGTAAAAATTAATTATATGAACCCCAGTGTTTTTGTTTGTTTTTATGGTAAAATATATATACCATAAAATTTATTTTAACCATTTTAAGTGTCTATTTCAGTGGCTTTAAGTGTATCTCATTGTTGGGCAACCATCATCACCGTCCATCTTCAGACCTTTATCTTCCTGAATTGAAACTCTGTACCCATTGCCACCTTCCTCAGCCCCTGACAGCTACCATTGTACTTTCTGTCTCTGTGAATTTGACTACTTTGGGTTCTTCATATAAATGAAATCAAATGGTATTTGTCCTTTTGTGACTGGCTTATTTTACTTAGCATGTTTTTAAGGTTCATCCATGTTATAGCATGTGTCAGTTTCATTCCCTTCTAAGGCTGAATAATATTCCATTATGTGCATATACTATATTTTGTATATCCATTCCTCCATTGGTGGACATTTGGGTTGTTTCCACCTTTTGGCTCTTGTGGATAATGCTGCTGTAAGAAACCCCAATGTTTAAGTAGAGAAATTAACATGTAAACATGGATACTACCTGTGGACAATAGATTTTAAAGAACCATGAGACATAAAAGGCACCAGATAAATATATGGACATTTTTGGCTTAGTGGAGGGTTAATTAGATATTCTAATAAGGCTTTATTTACAAACACTGTGGCATTCCTTCCATGTTTGAAAAATAGAGCCATTTATCTTTTTATAAGACTTAATTACAGTATCATCCTCATTATAATAGTAGTCTTCTGGTACCTCATACAGGGGAAAGCCAAGCCAAAACATCAACTAATAAGACCAAAAAAAAAAAAAAAAGTTACGGTTTGTGTGGCTGAATGGACTCTTAACAGAGCTAGTAAATAAAAGTGGATTCCAGAGTGTTTTTACTTGTTTGTTTTAAATATTCAGGTCCTTTTAGAATTGCTTCAGGCTGGAGGCATAGTTCAGTTTGAAGAGAGTCGGCTCATCCGAATGGCAGAAAAAGCAGAATTGTAAGTGGTTTTTAAGTTATGCATTAGTTCCCATATACTAAGTTACACTTCTCTAACTGGAAGCCAGTTGATGCATTGCCAATTTTTAATTAAGAAAGCTATATGCAAATTACAACAAAAAACCTAAATGCAAAAGTTTTTGTCTTTCAAGTCTAGAAATTAAGTAACATTTGCAGAAATTAACACTGAGTAAATTTGAAGTGCTTGTACATTTGTTTTAGTATGAAAATGAAATAACAGTCTTATAATTTATAATTTAGTTTTATTTACTTAAAAGTTCCACTATTTTATAGATTTTTGAGTCACTTATTCATACATATTCTAAACAGTGCAGAATTTAACATACCAAATAAGATACAATATGTTAACACTATTACTTTTCTCATTTGTTGAATATTTCATTTGACATATTTAATTCTGAACAGAGAAACATCACATAGTTAATTGATAACTCATATATTAACTGTTTCTATGTAACACATTGTTGCTTTAACATTTATTTTGTACCCAGCTTTTAAATTTCTTATAAACATAATAGTCATGTTCAGCATTTTAAACCTGTATTTAGAGGAATGGCAGATACTCCTCTCCCTTAGATACTATAACTTCATTTCACAGTAGAAATCACACCTACTATATTCATTTTTCCTAATACTAACCTCTGTAAGCAAACTTCTTGAAACAATAAGCTAATAACTGCCTGCCTGTCAGTACTCTTAAGTTTTTCCTTTTATGTTCTAGCTATCAAATTTGCGAGTTTATGTATGAACGAGAACACCAGTATGACAAAATAATTGATTGCTACTTACGTGACCCACTAAGGGAGGTGAGCTGTGAGGTGCTTTACCCTTTTTTCTTACTCAGTCCTCCCTTCCCCTTATTGAGTAGAAATAACTATTAAGTAGGTATAACTATTCAGTAGAAATGTTGGGACATGTGTTTGCTGATTCAAGGTTTTCTTCATTTATACACCAGGTTTTTATCGAGTGCCTCCTATTAGCCAAGTGCATACTGATCATTAAAACAGATATATTTGCTACAACTTTAGAACTTCTAGTTTAGTGATGGAGACTGACAGTAAGGAAACCAAATACTTAATTACAGATGTGATGAGTGAAGAGAAAATGGATGCAACTTGAGGAGATATTGGGGAAACTGACTTCTGCAGAGCAGCCAGGGAAGGTGACATAGAGACTGAGTTTTGGAATTTGAGGTGAAGCCAGTCAAGCAAAGAGCCAGCAAAAAAGTCTTCCAGGATAGGGACAAGGTTGGTAGAGAAGGGCGGAGTGATGTGAGATGAAGTTAGGAATGGGGATAGGGTCCACCAAAGATAAAAGTGTATGATATTCCCTCATTTGGTTAGTGAAATTGAGACCAAAATTAATTGGAATGGATTTGGAACTTCCAAGAGTGTACCCTAAACATTAAACTCATTCTCTTTAGTGTCAGTTTTCTAGCAGTTTAACTATCTACAAATGGTTTACCATCTCCAAATAATAGATAATTACCAAGACTGGTACAGATAGTGGATAGTGACTATTGCTTGAGTGAATGAATGAATAAGTTGTATTGTCTCGTGTTCTTCAGGAAGAAGTCTTTAACTACATTCACAATATCTTATCCATTCCTGGACACAGTGCAGAGGAGAAGCAGTCTGTATGGCAGAAAGCAATGGATCATATAGAGGTGCTGATTCAATAAAACTTGTTAAATTTCCCCATTTGTATGGATAGCTCCCAAATTAAGTGTATGCTAACTAAGTAATGGCAGGTGTCATATTAAGTTGATCTACTTGAGGATTAACATCTTTTTCAGATTATTTCGCCTTATACTTGTATTCATAAAGTCCATGTCCTATACAATTTATTATTTCGTGACTTCTGAAAAGAACCCAAGTTCAGTCAGCCGGATGACAAACTGGGTTATTAGTGGGTGTTTAGAACCTTAGAATGACTCTGAGAGTAGTATTGGTCTTCCCCCCTAAAATGTGATAGGGAGCCGTTCACCCCAATCACCCAATGGAATTTTACAAACAGTACTCTAATGCATTGTTCTCTCTCCTGTGTAACAGAGCGATGATTCTGATTTTGTTTATGCATGCTGTGTTACAAGAATACAGGAGTTGACTTTGGAGCAAGAACTTTTTTTTAAAAAACAAGCTTATAGATGCCTAAATGGAGAGACTAATACATGTGTGATGAACATGTGATCACAGCGCATTCAAACAGGGGCCCCAAAATCAGTCCTCACATTAGTTTCCTTAGATTCATCATGTACATTGCAACAGAGTTAGCAGTTTTTTGAATCTATTCTGTTTTATGGATCACTAATAATTGAAAAAAAAAGTGTAAGGAAGGATGCTGAGGTAATACTAGTTTTGGAGATAACAGATCTACAAAGTTTTTCTCCTTGTAGCAAGGATCAGCTGATGGGGGAACTTCTGGTGATGGGTTTAGAGATGTGGTGAAAGATAAGTGATTATTCAGTATCTTTAAAAAAATGTTATACATATGGAAAATGATAAAAAAGGATGAGTTCTGAAACTTTGAGGAAACATTGCTTGTTACGTGAATTCTTTGTTCTAGTTCCTGACGGTTTTAAAGTTTAGAGAGATCAGAAATGTGCACAGCATCTTGTGTGAAACATGCGCTGTGAAGGGTAGGGCAGTCTGTCACCAAATAGGTGGTCTGAAGTAATTGCTATGCTTTTTCGTCTGTAGGATTGAGAACATACATGTTATTTAATGTTACCCTGTTCCTGCTAACAAGATGAATATATCTTGGTGGAAAGAACCCAAGAAAACCTTTCTCGATTTTCATTTGTATCTTTTTTCCTTTAATCATTTTGTATTCTTTTTCCTTTCATCAGTCCCTTTGTCTCCATAGTCGCATTATGGCTTCGTATTCATTTCACTTCATCTGCATTATGCAGTGGTTTGAGCACATGGACTCCAGACATCCGAAAATGAAGCTATGTCTCTGCATAATGTGAAACATGATGAATTAATCAATGAGTAAACAAATGACTCAGCAGAAAACCCCTACTGGAGAAACAAGAAGTGTTTTTGCTGCACAACAATTATTTCTGCTGATTGTTTTCCCCACATCTGCACATTTTTTCACCTTGAACTTTTTAGTATCTCTTAAGGCCACAATTACAAATATATAGACTTTTTGTTGAAGAACTTCTGTGGCTTCAGTAATGTGAATAAAATCAACATTCAGTGTGTAGAGGGGCAAAAGTACTCAGAATTTTCTGACAGACACAGTGTGTAGATTAGTGGTTCTTAACACTTTGGGGGTTATAGACCTCTTATGAGAATCTAATGAAAGATTTGGGCCCATGGTGCATAATATTGTGCATGTACACAGCTACCTAATTTTGTTTATAATTTCAGGGATCCACAGACCGCCTAAAAGCTATTCTTAGTTTGGGTCTGTGGATTCCAGGTAAAGAATCTCTAGTTTCAATGGTTTTTCCAATATAGACAAAACATGTTTCATTAAATTTTTAAAAATATTTTTTATTTTGGGGCGCCTGGGAGGCTTAGTCAGTTGAGCATACGACTCTTGCTTTTGGCTCAAACCGTGGTCTCAGGTTCAGAGATGGAGCCCTGTGCCGGGCTCTGCGCTCAGCAGGGAATCTGCTTGAGATTCTCTCCCTCCCTGCTCCCCCCAACACCGCTCATACACATGTGCACACACTCTCTCCCTAATAAATAAATAAATCTTTAAAATATTTTTCATTTTGAGGGGCGCCTGGATGGCTCAGATGGTTGGGCGTCTGCCTTCGGCTCAGGTCATGATCCCAGGGTCCTGGGATCGAGCCCCATGTCTGGCTCCTGGCTTGGCGGGGAGCCTGCTTCTCCCTCGCCCTCTGCCTGTCCCCTGCTCATGCTCTCGCTCTCTCTTTGTATCTCTCTGTCTCAAATGAATAAATAAAATCTTTAAAAAATATATATATATATATATATTGAAATATAGAAAACATCCCCAAAAGTGCATAAAACAAATGTGCCGTTTAATAACACATTTAAAAAAGCAAACATCCTAGGCCCAGATCAAGAAATCGAGTTATTTCCAATACCCCAGACTCTTTTTGTGTATCCTTTCCTGATCACATTCTCTTGCCTTCCCTAATATGCCCAGGATCCTCGTTTTTCTGTTACTTTCCTGCCTTTCTATATACTGCTACTTCATATGCCTACATCTCTAAAACGACATTTGTTTTGCCTTTTTCTGAACTTTACATAAATGAAGTTCTACTCTTTGAAGTTTGTACATTTTGTTGCAGGTAGCTGTGGTTCATTTTAATTCTTGTATAGTATTCCATTTTACAATTATATTAAAATTTATTCATTTTTACTGTTAGTGAACATTTCTATTATTTCTAATTTTTGGCTATTAAAAGAAATCAATCCATGAGCATTCTTTTTTTGTTTTTTTTTAAGATTTTATTTATTTGTCCGAGAGAGACTGAGCAAGCAGGGGAAGTGGGAGGCAGGCTCCCCGCTGAGCAAGGAGCCCGATGCAGAACTTGATCTCAGGACTCTGGGATCATGACCTGAGCTGAAGGCAGACACTGAACCAACTGACCCACCCAGGCATCCCCATCCATGATCATACTTACACATGCATCTTAAGCACAGCATTTCTTGAGGGCAGTCTAGCATTACAGCATCAGCTGAGAATTTGATAGAAAGGCAGTTTCAGGGGCACCTCAGTGGCTCAGTGGTTAAGCGTCTGCCTTCGGCTCAGGTCATGATCCCAGGGTCCTGGGATCGAGCCCCCCGTATCGGGCTCCTTGCTTGGCGGGAAGCCTGCTTCTCCCTCTCCCACACCCCTTGCTTGTGTTCCCTCTCTCGCTGTGTCTCTCTCTGTCAAATAAATAAATAAAATCTTAAAAAAAAAAAAAAAGGCAGTTTCAGTCTTCACTTCAGACCTAGTCAATCTGAAACTCTGGAGGTGGACCCAGCGGTATGGTTCAGTAGGCCCTCCAGGTGATTTTGATGCATGCTAACATTTGATAATCTCTTCTCTAGGGGCATATAATTGCCAGTTAATTGAGATAAATACATTAAACTTCACTAGATGCCTGCATTGTATGAGATTTTCCATTAGCTCTGTATCCTTGGTAGACTTCAAAATTTTGCCAATCTAGTGCATGTATGATATTTTATTATGTTTGAAATTTACATACCCTTAATTACTAATGAGATTGATAATCTTATTGGCCATTTAAATTCCCTTTCTGTGATGTGCTTGTTGAAGTATTTTGCCTATTTTTCTATTAGAATGTCTCTTGTACTTACTGATTTATAGGAGTTCATCATGTATCCTGGATGTTAGTCTTTTTTCAGTGATAATATGTTGTGGATGTCTTCCACTCTGTGGCTTTTTTCAGTGGTTCTTTTTAAGAAAAGTTCTTTTTTTTTTTAAGTAGTCAAATCATCAATTTTTTCCTTCTCTACTAAAGGAGAAATTCTCCTATATTATTGTCTAAAAGCTTTCTTGTTTATTTTGTTTTTGTCTTTGAATCTTAGGTCCGCTTGAAAGCAGTTTTTGTACGTGGTATAAGGGTGGTGTCCAATTAATTTTCAAAGTATGGATGTCCAGTTTTCCCAGCAACAGTTATTTTAAAAAGTTGCCTTTCCCCATTGCTTGGCAGTGCTACTTTGTCATAAGCATATCAAGGATCTATACGTTTGATCTGTTTTTCAGCACTCTGTCCGGCTTTACTGTTTTGTCTCTCTCTGCATCAATGCCACACTACTAAATACTGTTGTTTTATAATCTTGAAGAGAGTATTGGTTATTCTTGACCTTTTATACTTTTATTTATTTTTAAATTTTAATTTTAATATAGTTAACATACCGTGTTATGTTACTTTCACGTGTACAGTACAGTGATTCTACAATTCTACACATTACTCAGTGCTCATCGTGTTAAGTGTACACTTACTTCTCTTCCCCTGTTTTACCCGTCCTTCCACCCTCATTCCGCCTGGTAGCCAGCAGTTCTCCATAGTTAAGAGTCTGTGTTTTTGGTTTGTCTCCTTTCTCCTTTGTTTTGTTTCTTAAATTCCACATATGAGTGAAATCAGTCATATGGTATTTGTCCTTCTCTGACTGACTTATTTCACTTATTTCACTTAGCATTATACTCTCTAGCTCCATTCATGTTGTTGCAAATGGCAAGATTTTGTTCTTTTTATGACTAATATTCCATTGTGTATATATACATAACTTGACTGTTGTAAATAATGCTGCAGTAAACACAGCAGTGCATATATCTTTTCAAATTAGTGTTTTCATATTCTTTGTGTAAATACCCAGTAGTGGAATTACTGGATCATATGGTAGCTCTATTTTTAATTTTTTAAAAGATTTTATTTGAGAGAGAGCAAGAGCGAGAGGGATCACAGAGGAAGAGGGTGAGGGAGAAGCACACTCAACCAGTGAGCGGAGAGCCAGATGCAGGGCTCAGTCCCAGGACCTGGAGATCATGACCTGAGCCACCCAGGCGCCCCTATTTTTAATTTTTTGAGGAACTTACACACTGTTTTCCACATCAGTTTGCATTCCCAACCACAGTGCATGAGGGTTCCTTTTTCTTCACATCCTCACCCACACTTGTTTCTTGTGCCTTTTGATTTCAGCCATTCTGACAAGTGTGGGGTGATACCTC